CGTCGGCTCTGGCGATGAGCGAGGGGGGGTCAGGCCCGAGGGGCTCAGGGAGGCCATGAGAGGCCGCTCGTTAAGCGTCGATCTGATCTCCCCACCAGGCGACCGGCGGGATGGGCAAACGGAGGAACGAGCGGCCGCCAGGTAACGGCGGGAGGCCCCAGCGGCGGCGAGGGGACGGGGCGGCGAGGGAATGGCGTCCCCTTCCCTTCCCCGTGAGGCAGCGGCCGCCCAGGAGCCCGACCAACCTGCCCTGCATTTCCACCTCTCACTCCTCATATTGTTGGCAACAAGCACTCCTAAAACCGCCCGGGCTCTTAATTCTTACAAACCTGCCAAACTGCACGAATGTCCCGATTTGTAAGCAAAATGATGCCCAGCGTTTACCTTTTCCACAGCTCTGTCATGAAATCCCCTCAGACCGCGCTGTGCCGTCGGGCTTTAGGGCCGCGCGCTGCCTGGGTGGCTTCCCCAAACATCCCCTCGCCTCGCTACAAGCATGCGGAAAATTAGGGTTATTGTGGGGATAAAACACAAAAAGAAGCGACTGGTGAGGGTGGGAGCAGCACCCCTAGAGCCCCTCGTGCCGCAAACCCCATTTCTTGGCGTTTTGGAGGAGAAGGGGTGGGTGGAGCGGAGCCGACGCCCCGCAAAAAGCCCAAAAAGCAATTCTTTTTCCCTCAGTTAGAGGCATGGGGTTTTTTTCCCCTAGGATTTAGTAACAAAAAATAGCACAAAACCTCAACCACAGTTGTTCTCCCCGTTTGACCCGACACCCAGAGCCCCTCTTACCCAAAGGCTGATGTCTGAGGATTATTTTTTCCCCCTTAAAGGAGGAGATGGTAAATTCCACGTTCCCAAAACTAAACGAAGTTTTCAGGAAGATTCAGAGGCAATGGGAAACGAGAGCTTGGACGCGACCGGACCGGCTCAGACCGGTGATGCCGACGGAAAACCAAAGCCGGCCGCAGGAGGGGCAGAGGATCGGGGAGAGGCGACCCCCAGCAGCACCGCGACAAACGCATCGAGGAGGTAACGGGGCGAGAAACCAGCAGGACGGGGGTTTGCGGGCGAACCAGGCTCTACGGTGCCTTACCCGGCGATCGCCTCGCCGCTCGCTGAATGTGTTTTATTCTTTTTAACAGCGCGAACGGCGATGGGGAAGAGGCTGCTCCGGAGCAAAGCCGGGCAGGGGAGTGCGTCGCCAGCCCCTTACCGCAGGTACGCCGGTCCTGGGCTCCAGGCAAGCGCAGCGAGCTCCCGGGCATCGCCGAAACACGCGGGTGCTGAGAAACTCCCTTCACGGCACGGTCGGAGCCTCCTCTGCGGCACTGGGTTTCCTCTGTTGGCAAACTCAGCCTTTGGTATTTACACCGAAGGGAGGAAAAAATTCCAGAGATTGGGATTTTTTAACGCGGGAGTGATGCCGGCCCCTTGTTATTTCAGGAAGGGGGAGACGCGGGCATCGGTGGAGGCGGCAAGTCGCCGGAGGCAGCTGCCCCGGGAGCAGCGTCTCAGCCGGAGTCACCCCAGCGAGCAAATTCGGTGGTGGATGAGGCAGAAGGGGATCAGCCGGTGGCAGCCGCGGAGCAGCACGGAAGCGCCGGTGAAGAGCCGGACACCGAAACCCAAACTCACCGCGGAACGGGCAATATCGGCGACAGTCCTAAGCACGGTTGCGCCGCGCCAGCGCGAGGAGAGGGAGCGGCCGGCGGAGAAATCGCTCTCCCTGTGGATACTCCAGGCCGGAGCACCGGCAGCGGCGTGCCGGCAGAGGTGCCTGACCCTCACCGTGAAGAGGGAGTTGACCGCAGGGAGCCGGGCGAGCGCCAAGGTGACGCTGATCAAAGCCAGGAGCTGCCGCACACGTCTGTTCTAAACGCTGAAGAAAACGAATCCGGTGCTGTGTCCGAGAGGGCGGCTGGAGGAGAACACCGGGAAAACGCGAGCCGGGAACGACCGCGGGCACGCGGTACAAACAAGGCAGTGAAGAACGTGGCCGACTCCTGGAGCAGCCCGGCCGGTGGCATCGTCTCCGCGGAGGTTTCGGGGGTCTGCGCCCCGTCTGCGGGCCCGAAGGTGGAGGGAGGCACCGCCAAACTGGAGAGTGCGGGCGCTGATGGCACCGTCGGCCCGGTGAGCTGGCCCCCGGGCGGGAACGCTTCCCCATGGAAAACGTCGGGAGAGGCCGATGCGGGCCGGGAAGAGGCCGGAGGAGGAACCACCCCCTCTCCGGGGACCAGCTCGGTGCCGGATCCGGCCGGGACGGCTGTTGGGAATCCCGCAGGCGAGAGGGAAGGCGGAGGACTCGCGGGGGGGAGACGCGGCACGGAGCA